AGCATGCTGTCGGCCGGCCAATGGCCGGCCGTTAGGCCAGCTTGGGCTTTCACCTCGGCTCAGTCGAGCCGAAGCATATGCCTTCGGCTTGACTGAGCCGCTCGGCCAACTTCGGGAGCTGTACGGGCTATAGTGAATAGCCCGTACAGCAGCCCTTCTGTTCTACTGAATCGAAGGGGTACTGGGGCCGAAGCTAGCCAAAGGATCAGCCCAAGCTACGGCTAGATCCTTCGACTGCTTCGCGAATAGACCCCTATGTGTATAGTGTCATAAGATATGTAAACCGAAAGTTTTAAAATGACCGTCCACCCTAAATCCAGAACAAATACATTATTTAAACCCACATGGAAAAGAAGAAGAAAAAAAACTGGGTATGGACTGGCTGTTCTTATGTTTTCTTCTATGGGTGATTTGTCCTGGCGATTGAGAGATTTACTGTTTCGGAATACAATTTTCCTGCGTAGTCTTGACTGCAATCTATCAAAAGTAGATGTTGTTATAGAGTAATATTGCAGCCATTTTCTCTAAACAAATACATTGTTTCGGGGATGGGAAATGGGCTCCCTGGCAAGAAACAAGTATTGCATTCTTTTTCTCCTTCCTTTTTCTGTTTTGCCTAATTTATACAAAATTGAGCAGCTGATCGCATGTACTTTGACGAAGTGTGAAATCAGAATCAAACTTTTGATGCCCTTTTTTTTTCTTTCCAGTTTCAAGCCACGGTAAAGGAAGGAGTTACGGGCGTGATGGTAAACTTAACGGTGAATGACAAGGACGACCCCACCACGGGAGCATGGAGGGCGGTTTATACCATCATTAATGGAAACCCTGGCCAGAGCTTCGAAATTCACACCAATCCCAATACGAATGAGGGGATGCTTTCTGTGGTCAAGGTAAGGAAAGATGGGAATGGGGTTGTTTGGTAGAAGTTGGGCCCCTTTTACATTTTGCATCTGAGCTGTTTGGTTTAGCCTGTGGAACAATATGAGCAAGGTTGCATTCTGGGGTTAAGTTACTAAAGTCAAATAGGCTGTTCACTTTGTAAGGGTATTAACTAGGGATGCACCTAATGATACTAGTATCGGTATTGGTGCCGATACTAACAGGGTTATTCACAAAAGGGTGAAGAGTTTGGAGAAGGCAAGGGAAGTGAACAATCTAGGACAACATAACTGATTTGGAAAGTGAACTGAAGAATGTTTCCAAATCAGTTATGTTGTCTTAGATTGTTCACTTCTCCTGCCTTCTCCAAACTCTTCACCCTTTTGTGAATAACCCTGTAAGTATTTTGGCAAGTATTCATACTCGCCCAAATGCTCCTGATACCGGAACTTCGGGTATCAGGAAGCCGAGCCGCAAATCATTCCATGCTCCCTTGTCACCAGGGGGCATGGAGCTGGCTTCCCGGCCTATCAGGAAGCGGGGGTGTAGGTATTGACGAGGGAGCATTGAGTCGGTAATGACTCACCGCCCGTCTTCCTGATTGGTCGGGAAGCTGGCCAATCAGGAAGCCTGGCAGTGAGTCATTACCCGCCCGTCTTCCTAATTGGCCAGAGAGCCAGCTCCATGCTTTCTCATCAACTGGTGACGAGGTAGCATGGAGCCAGCTTCCCGGCTAATCAGGAAGTCGGGAGGTGAGTCATTACACTGCCCGGCATCCTGATTGGCCGGGAAGCTGGCTCAATGCTCCCTCGTCACCAGCCGCATGGCTTCCTTAATGGGATTCCTGGTATCGGTATTCGGTATCAGCGAGTACAGAAAAAAAATATATCAGTACTCGTACTTGATATCGAAAAAACCGTATCGGTTCATCCCTAGTATTTACACTTTGCAGGGGAAATTTCCCTTAGCTTGGTGAATGTGGTTAGATTACACTTTGCAAAGAATACCCAATGTACAAGGTAAATTAAAAATGTTGCTTGCACATGATTGGATAATGGAAGTCAGCAGAGCTGCACATCATTCGCTAAGCTAAGGAAAAACTTCCCCTGCAAAGTGAATAGCCTATTTGCCTTTAGTAAATCAACCCCATTATCCTCGAACCCCCATGCCAAAATGCTGGCAAATTAAAAGAAAACTGTGCAGGAAGAAACTTACCCGAGCTTCCGTACTCCAGTGTGTGAGGTCACACTCCTTCCAACAAGATCCCACTGAATGCCCAAATCTCACGAGATGATACTCAAACACAGTGCAGGGGTGTAAAATGTACCCTATGCTGGAAGAAACCTGATGTCACCCGTGCCTAGGTGCCGTGGGGGAGAAGATGGAAGAAAGTTAAGTCAAATTAATCATTTAAAAATCGAAATGAAAGAAAATTAATGATAATTTTTTAATATTATTTTCCCTACAATTTTTTATTTTTTTCCATTTATTGATTGCAGCATTTTTTTCCTGGAGGAGGGGAACACAGTGAATATTTATTATTTGCATTTATATAGTGCCAACAATTTTAACGCAAAACTTAACATTCACATCACTCCCTACCCTCAAGGAGCTTACAATCTAAGGCCCCTACTTCATATGCATACAGGGCTAATTTAGAGAGGAGCCAATTAACCTCCCAGCATGTCTTTGGAGTGCGGGAGGAAACCAGAGTACCTGGAGGAAACCCACACAAGCACAGGGACAAAATGCAAACTTCTTGCAGATAGTGTCCTGACCGGGATTCGAACCGGGGACCCCCAGGGCTGTAAGTGCCAACCATTATGGCACCGTGCTTCTCAGGCTGATCATGTGTTTCTGGTGCGAGGTCTGCTTTAACTAGCTCTAAAATATATGCATATCCTTTAAGAGTGTTGAAAGCCGAATACATGTCATTCTTTAACCAGCTCTTCACTTGCTTTAATAACTTTGCCATTATTATGTGCAGATACAGATCACCTTCTACGCTGTAACTCATTTACAGTATGCTTCTATCATAACTCGGCAGCATTGAGCTTGGTAGATCTGCAATGTGAAGCAAATTCGCCGAACGATACAATCTCTGTAAAACCAATAGCATTTATCAGCCTTCGGCATTCTGTGCTCTGCCGCAATATCATTGTGGATAATTTACTGCTCCGTGCTAGTGCCAATAGGGGATGAATTAAGTGGTGCCGGCGAAATTGATTTTGCCGCAAAATCCCAGATTGGAGCTGCTTTGAGGAAATTTACTTGAAAAAAATCTACTTTTTTATTTAATTTGTATTAAAATATTATTACATTTTATTTAAGGTGCATTTTTTTATTTTTTTTTATTTTGGTGCATTTAAGGCATTTTAGTTTATTTCATTTAACTGTTCTTTGTATTTTGTGTTTTTTTCCTTTTTTTGTTGTGTTTGACCATTATTTATGTACCGGCACTTTACATGTTTTATTTTACTTTTTTTACTGTCTGTTTTAATTTCTGTGAATTTTTTTTTTTTTTAAATGATGATAATTAGGGGCCATTTATTTGGCGCAAGAACAGGCCCAGGATAGTTGAAAGGAGCTTCCATAACCCTCAAGAGCTCTTTACCCTGTGACCTTGTCATCAATATTACAAGGGCACTAACATGAGAAGAAAGCTTTTTTACTTACCTGGCCATGGGCCCATTTGCTAAAAGTTCACTCTTTAGCAAAGCTCTCAAGTCATCCAATCAGCGCCGGTGCTAGACTATTTTGCGCCCTAGGCAATATCAGCTATGTGCACTTCCCAGCCCCCCTCCTACAGCGCAGACCCCAATCCCCTAGGAAATCTCACCGCTCCAATCCCTTAGCCGCCATGAGGACTCCCTAGGTGCTGGTCTGATAGGTGCGTCTCCACCTTGGAAGGCAGCGGTATACAAACAGACCGCACCATCCAGAGAACTCCAATACCCCAGACTCCACTGAAAGCTGTGGAGTCTGGGGGATTGGCAGGGCCGGTGCTAGACTATTTTGCGCCCTAGGCAAGACCAGCTCCTTGCACCCCCAGCCCCCCTCCTGCCATGCAGACACCAATTCCCCCCCGCATGCGCAGCCCTATTCTCCTGCCGTCTAGCTTCCACAGGTTATAGATGGATACCAAGCAGCCAGGACAATAGCCAGACTGCTATTGGCTTTTTTAATTTAAAATAGCCAATAGCAGACTGTCTATTGGAACACCAGCAACGTAGCAGGGGAGCGGACCTGAGAGAGAAAGTTGTCTCTCAGTTCCGCTTCTCTGCTCAGTGGGTAGGTCCAATAGCCAGCCTGCTATTGGCTTTTGCATTTCGAAATAGGGGGGGGGCACCGTGAGGGGGTGAATGGTCAAGGCTGCGCCCTAGGCAGCAGTGCGCCCTAGGCAGCAGTGCGCCCTGGGCGGCTGCCTAGTTTGCCTGGTGGTAGCACCTGCCCTGCATCCAATTCCACACTTCCAGGTGTGCGGAAGAGCGAGTCCCCACTGACTGCTGTGCTTCCTTTCCAATGACCCCAGCACCACTATTGTGTGCTGCACTGACCTGCTATCTGACAAGCCCTAGTAATTGAATTGGATCAGTTCTTGGAGCTCTGCTACAGAGCAAAGTTCTAGCTAACGGGCCGACTCCTGGCATGGTCACTTTAAAGACCATTGCACCCTTACAAACAACAACATTTTTGCCTTTCCTATTGACATATCTTGACATGTTTATGAGTTCTTCTGTTTTTCAATCATATTTTAGAGAAATTAAAACTCTCATCCCTAGTGCCTACAAAGCATGGCGGCATTCATGGGAATGCTCACATACAGGATGATGGTTTCTCCCTTCTGCAGATGGCACTTTTTCTGTCCACGTGACAACTTCTACTACTATTTTTAGTACAGTCACAGGGACAGGAAGTGACGGAATAGTTCCCCGGTGGTGTCACATACAGATATAAAAACATTTTCACTTTTGACAATTGAATACAAGAATTATAAAATGGTAGGAGTTAGACTTAACCTGGTCTTCAATTATAAAGAAATCTTGTACACGGTACTTTATGCTTTCATGTCACTTGAGTCATGTAAAGGTCATATAAAGTTATATGTTCTGTTTTTCAGCCATTGGATTGTGAGATTCTGGCCTTTCACACTTTGCTAATCAAAGTAGAGAACGAAGACCCTCTTATCCCAGACGTGGGCTATGGGGCCAGTTCCACCGCCACCGTTCAGATCAACGTCCTAGACGTGAACGAGGGCCCGGTTTTTCACCCGGACCCGACGAAAGTGTCAACCCCAGAAAACATCCCAGTTGGATCCATCTTACTCACTGTGAGTGCCACCGACCCGGATACCTTGCAGCATCAAACTATCCGGTGAGTACGTGGATGTAATGTTGATATCACCTTGGCATGAATCTTGATTTTTGATACTGACTTTGCACCAGGCTATATCGGGTTCACAATATCTTATCTGATGTTTGTGTTGTTCAGTTGACTAAAAAAATGGCCCCAGTCTTGTTTTTTGGATGGCTATTAAAATTATGGATACGTAGAACATCACGCAAAGTACATAGCTACCAATTAGAAATCACTCTTCCTATCTGAGTACTTTGATCATGAGTTTAATTGGTTGAGAATTGGTTACAAAAGAGGGGAAGGGATTTTTGTAACCATAAAAATAGAGTTGAACTTTAACATGAACCTGTGAACAGGTTTACTTTAATACTGACCACTCAAGCTGCACGTACTGACCTTCCTTTCACTCTACCACCAAGCTCTTGGCCACTGGAAGTAAGGAGCGTTAACACTGTGCAAGCTTTAATTTGCAACTAGGAGTTTATTTGGGGTCTGTCTTCTTGCCTTAATGTGACAGCACAGGGTGGCAGGGGCAGGTGTGCGGGCCGGTGGATGAGCAGCGTGGGCCATTGGAGGAGGTGTGGGGGCCATTGGAGGAGGTGTGGGGGCCGTTGGAGGATGTTTGGGGGCCGGTGGAGGAGGTGTGGGG